CTAAGGATCAGTCTTAGATAGAGTCCATACAAGCCTAAGGAGTGAAACTACATATAATTTTAAATGTCGGCGACCGCTCATTAGTTCCGCAGAAGTCTACGCTACGAAACCGCGGGAGCTACTACATCAAGAATAATCTTCTTGATGTAGTAGCTTTCACCATTGTGGAGAAATACCAGAAAAGCATGGACAAATTTGAGAAAAGCGTGCCTTTCTTGAAGAATTCCGATGATGATATTTGCAAGTTGAGGTGCAACGGCTTCTACACCTTCCATTAGAGCTTTGAAACGAATACCATCAATTCGCAGTAGTGTCTCCTCATTTTTTTATTTCCTCGGTTCATCGACGGTAATCAGATGTGTCATACTTCCTTGACTAATGTAAGGGCCAAAGGGGTTTGTGTACAATTCAGTAAAGAAAGTTTTTGCGAGTGATTGAGCCTCGGTGGAAGTAGTCATTATCCCATCTGGCCTTCGCAATTGGCATGAGAATGCATGTTACGGATAAGTTCAAGGCGGCTGCTCCGTACACGCGAGTAGCGTTGCAGCCAGTCGCCTATTCAATGTAAGCTTTTTCAGTTGTCATTCGTTTCAGCCCTTATTAGTTCACGCTCTGAGAGGAGAAGGGAGTTGGGTCCCATTTTTGTTCCAGCGGCTTCGGAAATTTGACGGACAAAGCACTCCATTGTTGTCAAGAGGCCACAAAGTAACCTTTACATTTCTGTATTTGCGACCAAACTTTTTTTGTACAAGTATTAGTGCGTTTTATTTGGTTCGCAGATGCTCGCACTGGTAGCAATACATGTCATGTGCAACCTCGCATATTGGAATAAGGGGTATTTTGCCACTATGATTGATTTGTGAACAGTTGATTGCAAAAACTCCTCCATCCAGGATCTGTGACACGGATATATGAAACCCCTCATCAGGCGACTGAATGCAAATTTAGATCACCGATTGGTAACTTACATAAAAACAACAAGAATTTTCTTCATCTTATGACTCAAACTTTCTTGACTCAAGCGTTTGTGCAATTATCTTTCTTTAAATTCGATCGAAGAAATACACTTTTTGCTTACCCTTTACAATGAAGTCGGTGGTTTGCAAAGTTCCTTGCCAAAAACCCCGTGATATCTCTAATACTTCACCCGAGTGAGATAACTTTTTGCAAAAATCCATTAGAACTCCGTAAAAAGCTTGCTACAATAGACTTCATGCAGACTTTGAACAGTTGACCTTTAAGCATAAGCCTTTAACCAATTACGAGAACTTCCGCAGTTTCCGCATACAGTGCTCTCTTTGGAGACAGTTTTTATGTTTTTACATTTTTGGAACTTTTGAGCAAGTTGGTTGCTTAACAATTCGAGCAAGGTTAAAGAAATCCGTGGATTTCGCTTTCGCTCGCTCCGCGCTTAGTGTGGACTTGTATGCCTCTGGAGTGCGGTGGATTTGCGGTTGTCTCGCGTTGGATGGGCGATGCCCCGTCTCATCATCACGAGCGTCGTACACATTACTAATTATTACTTATTACTTACTTATTACTTGTTTCTGTTAGACCTATATACTTGGTATGGAGATTGAGCCATGCATGTCGAACCAATTTCTAGAAAGGTGTGCTAGTCTTTGGACATGTTCAAGTTTTTAACGGATTTTTCTCAAGCTAGCATAACCTTGTCTTCCAATCTCCTTAACGGGTTTATAAGTTCTCTTTGCTTGGATAGGTCGTAGAGGAGATCAAGGCCAGTGAGCACTCTGCTTGCACGATCCCCTGTTTGTTTGATAGAAGAAAAAATTTGATGCAAGAAACGGAACGTGATGTCATTGTTGTTGGTTTACCACATAGCAATGTCAGAAAACAACTTGCGTAATAGACACTACTTGCACTACTTGTACCTTTCAAGGTTGCGTTTGCTGTTGCGGGAAACCTGGGGAATACTTGAAATTTGGAGCATTTTTTAGCTCGAATGCGTACACTGCCATGCTACGTTATTGGCCAGACCGGGTTATCACTCTACATACGCATAAAACAGCGGAGTAGAAAATGGAAAAACGTAGCAACACCACTTGCGGAAGCACAAGAAAGTCAGTCACTGCAGCTATGCTTGCACTGTTGGCATTGCCTTAGCACTAATGACCGAAATATCAGCTCGCAAAGCGGCATTTATTCTATAGTCGTCCTCACCCCTCTAGTCGGTCGGTGGTCGAATTTGAATTGGAACTGGAGCAGGCTGACCACGGCAGACGCCGCCCCTCAGCCAACCGCTTGCACGAGCTTTTTTGTTATTTTCTTCGTGTTTCTTTGCTATCTTTCGTATTGCGGCAATGTTCTCAATCAGACGTTCAGGTTTCGTACCGCTAACTCTTTAAAACAAACACTATTTGAGAGAATTTCAGCCTTACCGCAAAAAAATAGTCTAGAGTACATATTCAAACGAAAAACTTGACACATTCTATCAAATCACATTTGTGTATATGTCACTTACCGGAAAAAAGAGATTCCTCATCCAAAAATCTCCAATCGCATCCTTTTTTTCGGTTTACTTCTGAAAAATGTAAAACAAACGAGCACAATTGCACAAAACAATAGTTAGCGGTACGAAACCTGAACGTCTGATTGAGAACATTGCCGCAATACGAAAGATAGCAAAGAAACACGAAGAAAATAACAAAAAAGCTCGTGCAAGCGGTTGGCTGAGGGGCGGCGTCTGCCGCGGCCGGTCTGCTCCAGTTCAAATTCAAATTCGACCACCGACCGACTAGTGGGGTGAGGACGACTATATCTAGAGAGCCCAAAATGAATGGCAAAAATGAACACTCCTTCGTAAGTGACTTAGCGAGTTGCTTGTGAATGGAGTTTGATGATGTTCACTTAGAATGAATGGGACAGTCGAGTCTGAAAGGCCGTTTAGGGTGCAAGATAAATGTGAATGACTACTTTCAGACCTCTGAGGAGGAGATTAGTGCCGAAACGTTAGGCCGAATAAAGCAATTTATCAAATCTGTCTGGCAAAGAAAGCACCCAGATAATTTCTTTTTCCTTAGTGTGTATAGTATATTCCCGATTTATCCCCTTCGTACAAAATAAGCAGCTCGGTAGCTACCGCAGCCCTCAACAGAAGGCAGCCCAAAAAGGGGCACTGAGTTCTGTACTGCTGCATTAGCATCCCTTCCTACAACCAAGCCATAATTCTAGATTATTTAAGAGCCTAGATTTGCTCCGGATTGCCTCAGCTGCGGCTCCTTTCTTCTAGGGTACTCAACACAGCTAGAGTAAAATCTTCAAAAGCTGTTCAGCACGTTGTCGAAGGATGTTCAGCATGCTAACTACCAAGCCGTTCTAAGTGATACAGCGATTACATTTTGCACTCTTGCTTGTGATCACACGTGTAGTTATGACATATCAAGTGAGAATCTTTGTGACGCTTATGCATTAAGTATGTAAATACATACAGGGCTTATCACTTAGTGTCGCTTGCATCAGCATCTCCATTCCCCCGCTGAACTCTCTGTCTTTTCCGCGAACATGCTTTTAAATCACTTCCAAACGATTGAGGCTCCGCCTTTCCCACGCTCGCCCTGGGAAAGTGATCAGAGAGCATGTCCGCGGAAGAGATGCAGAGTTCAGCGCGGGAGTGGAGATGCTCATGCAAGCGACACTGCGTTCGATAAGCCCTGTAGAATCACAGTCGTATAACAGAGTATCTTCAAATATGGCACTTATAAAGGCTTGTGCATCTTCATTTTCCTCTAAGGCTCCCGCCAGAGTGCCGAAGTTATGCCAGCGCTACGCCAGCATTTCGATCGATACACGAGAATTTCGTTGGGGACGTCAGCTAGCCCCGCCCCAACGAAATACACGTGTATCGATCGAAATGCTGGCGTAGCGCTGGCTTAACTTCGGCACTCTGGCGGGAGCCTAATGGAGTATGCAAGCACGTGCTCGCATGTTGTAGTCAACGATAACCAGCTCGCCGCATGTATCTACAATGTCATCAAGCGGTTGTGGATTCGTAGCTTTATGATAGACTGCGCACGTAGCACTTATATTGTTGTTCTGTAGGCTCAGTCATCAATCTCAATCTATAAGCTCAGGTCATCTGCCTGTACTTTCTCACCTCAATTCGCCTCGTTCTCTACATCCTGTAAATCAAGTTTCTATTCACTCGGACAATCGTCGGGGGAAGGCGGATATCGGAAAAACAGATTTATGTCTTGCACTCTGCTGACAGATTGCTAGAAAAGCGGTTAGCACTTTTTTGTTAGGACGCTTGCTGTTTTTTGCTAAATAAGCAGCATTCTATTGAATCAGGGCGAGAAAGGAGATGACAAGCGGTTTCGTTTAAACTGATGGAGTGCTTAGAAAAATCTCCGATGAGTGCGAGAAATCAGCAACGCGCATTTTCCGGTGTTCGCCCAGCTTGCGGTTGCATGTGTAAATCAAAAAATATTATGCGATGCATCGTACAGATAGTTTTATTTGAATGGGGAGGGGTAGGTTTGCTCTTTTATGCGCTTTACTTTCTTGATAAAGTTGGTTGCAAAAGTCTTTCAAGCTTCCCAACACAACAAGTGAACATTTTTTTGAAAAGATCATATTGTCTATACTGGCAGGTAGTGGAATGGTCGGAAGCCGGGGTGGCCATTCCGAATATGCTGCTTCAACAGCAGCATTAATCGACGACTCCAAATCTGTCTATCTTATCTGCGGAACCTTTCTGGACGAAGTTATGAGCATTTTGAACAGAAAAATAGTACATAAGTATTGCAACTTCGACACATGATTATTTTCAGCCTACCTTCAGACACTTTATCGAGCAACCTATCTGGACGCTTTGGCCCAGCACTGAGCCAAACACGGACCAGTATGTGCAAAATTGCATTTTGCATTTGTGATTTGCAGTATATTGGCTTATAACTTCGTCTCTACAGAGTTCCGCAGATGAGAAGTTTTGAGATTTGGAATCAGCGTTTTAGGTTGCTTCCTTTGCCGGCTTGTTGGAGATGGCCATGACTTCCGCCCTTCCCTTGTAAGTTTTATGAAGTTTTTCTCGAGGCTTTAGACTTCAACTGTATCTGGAATACGCCTTTTGAGTATGTATACCTACCACAAACGCAACATGTAACGAAAATTTATAATTTAGTAATAGCATCAAAAGTACATTTGCACATCAGTACCTTAGAAGGCTTTTGAGCTAAGTTGAGTCAAAAGCAAAAAAGGTTTATTTCCTAATTTTGGTAAAATCTTCTTAAGTGGAATGAGTTTATTGTCATTCGATAAAATTTGAGACTTTAAATTTTATCGAATGACAATAAAGACTTATCTCTATCCTTTAAACCTCCTCAGTTAACTCTCGTTTTTTTCGGTTTTTTTCTGGAAGCCACTTGAAACAGTATTACTAACAAATGTTAAAGTGACGAGCACATCCTAGCCTACAACAACCTAAATTTCAGAAATGACGAGAATACGCATTGCGCTTGTTGTTATTGTTCTGGTTTCCATGGTCAACTGTCAGAATCGGGGAGTATGGGAATCTTATTCTGATTTTAATCAATGCAAACTTATGCCTAGGAATGAATGGGCAGCTACACGGATTTGCACATTATATTGCAAAAGGGCTGAGGTATGTCATTATCCTGTTTTTCTGATAAGCCTTGAGAATTACTATAAATCCACATTGACACATAAACAGGACTCTGTCCATTCTCTCCTGACTCCTGACTCTCTAAGTTTGTGGAAGGTTATTTTTCTGGAGGCAGATGTGCTATGTGATGGATAGCGCGATTTTTATAACAAACTGAAGCAAAATTTCTTCTGAGTGACCCTCTAAAGTGGCCATAGAGTACGAAACGGAACAGAAAAACATAACAATCCTCCAGCAACTCATAGATTTGCGTTTGTGCTTTTAGCAAATCAGTTATGCCTTTCAGATAGCTCTTAGGTTTTTTTCAGTTCACAAGTGTAAAACGCGGGGGACTTTTTTCTAAAATTAAACAGCACAGACAAGCCGAAGGACTTCGTGACTAAAAAACTATATGCAGTACTGCATATTTCCTGAGGGTATCATGCGGCATAAATCTCGTTTTCCGAAGTAGAGCGAGACGGCTGAACGGCTTGCTTAAAAAACGAAAAAAATGCATCCTATACTTGTGAAATTAGGGTGCTTTATAATGATCTATGGCATATTTTTTCCTCAAGATAAACTATCAATTTCTAACACTCTTCTTACGAAAGAAAGGGCAAAATTCGGTTCCTTCATAGGGGACGAAGCGGTTCCGATGGTGGTCTTCTTGGCGTACAAGATATTCATCTACAGAAGTTATGAATTTTTTATCCTAAAAACTCGTAAATATCCAAAAATCGCTGCTCCTTCAACAGACTTCAGGCACTATAGTTTCTGAAAGAGGAGGACGAGATGGTTCCGATGGTGAATATCTCACTGTACCAGCTGTTCTCTTCAGGAATTATCAATTTGTTATCCTGAAAACTCGAGGGGACCCGGAACTCACTATACCTTTCACCAAGCACTTTTATGAGGGCCACTATGCAAACTATCATTATCTGACAGCGGAGAAAAAACATTGTATTGAGGACACCTTCCTTGCGGTCGTTGGTGTTCATTTACAGATGTTTTGATTTTTCCCTTCTCCTGTAAATTCAAAGGTTAAGAGCATGGTGGCTTTATCCATAACTTTACCTCACAATTGATTTTCTTCGTGACTGATGAAGGAGGTCACCGTGCTCGACTCGCGGGTGAAAGGCGGGGGGTGGAATTCTAATACTTCGCACTTATGCTTTCGCCACATACGGTTGCGAAAATCTCAGAAAAAGCGTTCGATAGCATATGTTGGCAATATAATCTTATGATACATCTGTCAAAGGCGGGTCACTGCATGGTTATCTAGCTGTTATTTCAGAACTGCGGTTATGGAATCTGCATTAAACGTGGAAAGAGTTACGTATGTAGATGCATGGCTTGTGCCAAATGAATAATAAAAGATCAGAAGCGTCGATTCGAAAATCGTGTGCGCCAATAAGCATCTCGACTTTGCTTAATAGTGACATTTCATATATGTACAAAAATTATGTGACCTACACTAAGATAGTTTCTCTCAAAACCACTACTTCTCAATCACAGGTAATTTTTCTCGCTCAATTATTCGCTTGTGGAATAATGTTTGTCTACTACTAAGTGCTGATTTTGTGCATGTGACTGTTGCTTATTATTGAATTAGAGCCCGTTAGTGAATCAGTACGTATGCAGTTATCCCGCCTCATTCCGTTCATAGTGTCTCATTGGGCATAGCCACCCAAAACAACCACTTCACGAGACTGGAATTTCTTCTTGTATAGTCGTCCTCACCCCACTAGTCGGTCGGTGGACGAATTCATTTGAACTGGAGCAGGCAGGTCGCGGCAGAGCACGGCACCTTAGCTCTCCGTTCAAATTCACGCATTCACTTTGCGTATTTCTTTGCCATTGCTTAGCAGTTTTTGAATTGTTACAACGTTTTTGATCTATATTGAGTTTTTGTAATTGCTGAGCGTTGTCTTCTGCCGCGCTCTGCCGTGACAGGCCTGCTCCAATTCAAATTTGAATTCGTCCACCGACCGACTAGTGGGGTGAGGGCGACTATAATTACCAAGTCATTTGTAATTTAATATGTAAGTTTGCATATTCGGCAATGGACGAATCCCTTATTACTTACTTCGCAATGAAACCCCCAGCTTAGCATTAGCAAGTTGTAGAAGTGTGTGCTATCGACCGTTATATTATCCAAAAAGGAGAAATCACTTGAAATGAGCAGTCTTAGTTTACAAGTTACATGGTGTGTGCACTATGCATTTATTCATAGAAAATGAAAAGATGTTGCGTTTTACTGTTTAAGGGATGCCTGTCATAACTACAGAATACACATGGTTTTCCTGCTTTCCTGTCATCTAGACTTCATAGTGACTCCGGGGTTATCTGGGGATTCAGGGGAACAAGAATTTTTTCATATGAAGGGGAGTTGCGTTAACGAAGGTTTCTGTTTTTGGACATCGTTTTGAAATCGTGATACACTCGTGTCCGCTTTGTAAACGAAGTTTCTAGCTTAAGTTACTTTACGAATCATAATCTTTATGAAACTTGTAGCTGCTGCTAGAATTCAACTCCGTCAGTTGAAAGGCACACATCCACACGAGATTCTTAAACAGAAGAATTTGAAAAGGTATGCTGAAGTAATAATGCGGTAACGATGAGCAATCGATGCTATCGTCCATTCGTTGACTGTACGGACTGGACATAACCGCGGAGCACGCGCCGCGAGGTAAAAGCTTGCTCCGATACAAACTCGCCATTGTCCAAAGCGTTCTCTCGCAACATTTTAACCGTGCCGCGCGTGGTCCGTAGCGTTTGAGCAGTCCGTACGGCCAACGAATCGACGATAGATTTTTTATATAAAGCTGAATGCGTGTTTGTCGTCTGTCTGTATGTGTGTGTCTGTACTGAAAATTTCTTAACTCGTGTTCAAAACTCTAACAGTTTGCACAATAGTAACGCACAGTACTTCCTACATATTGCCAAAGTTTGAGTGCGCCACATCCAAAGAAAGCAAAATTGTGAAAAGAGCTGCAAAACTTAGGGTAGCATGCACTACATCCCCGCTGGGGAGGGGATCGCAGCTCAAAAGAAAGCTCCATATTCTGAAGCTCCAGATATCTGGATTTCACGCTGTCTACCCTCTTCGTAAGTATTCCTACCATCCTTCACTATAAACGTATTGAACAGGAGCAAGAAGCTATATGAGCAGTATTTTCTAGCTTTCTGTACGATCCCCGATGATCCTAAGCTGCTGTTTTTCTTTTCTTTGAAGTCATTTTTCTTTTTTGGAAGTCAATAAAAACATTCCAGAGTTGTGCTGTTTATTTAACCCAACAGTGCATACCATGTTTTTTAATAAGAATAAGTGATGTTTCGAAGTCATGAATTTTGCGACGAATCACAAGTCGAAAGTTGGGATTTATCGAAAGAAACGATATTTCAAAAACTCATTAGTTCTTATCGGCAACATGCTTGGTATTGTTGGGTCAGATAACCAATATAACTTTGGAAAGTTTGCGTTAACTTCGAAGGAAGAAAAGTCATTTTGAAGAAAAGACGTTCGGCCGCGGGGGATCATCAGGGATCATACAAAAGCTGGAAAATGCGCCTTGTGCAACTTTTCGCCCCTGTTCACTATGTTCATATGAATGGTGGGAATACTTGCGGATAGGTAGACAGTGTGAAATCCAAATACCTGGAGCCGCGAGATATAAAGCTTTCTTTTGAGCTGCAACCCCCCCCCCCTCAACAGGGATGTTAGTGCATTCAGCCCTTAGTTTTCAACTAATAATTACCCATTCATCTAATTCTCGAAAGCTTTCTAGCCTGTTAGAAAGTCTGTCTTTTTTCCTTTCCAACTGATAGCCACAAACACTCAAATTTACGTTGCTTCTAAGTAAGCTGTTTGACTTTCAGCTCCTCCGGTCAAGCAAATGCTCACTGCTTACGCGCACACGTACATTACAATATTCTGGCTGAGCGCGACAAAAATTGGCAATCTCAATGTTTTCGAAATTTTTTGGGATTACTAAGGCCGGAATCAGTAAATGTTGCTAACTGCAGAGTTTCTCCTCTTGTATCAACCGTTTGCTAATGATTCCATTCAACCCATTGATGACAGGGCGATCTTCTTGAGTTGATTTTTGATGGTTGACGTTATCACAGGTTGGAGGGAAAGCGTGACTAAGAAGGGAAGGATCATCCGAAGTAGTTTTTCCACACATGATGCATATCATTCTGCTGCTCTTGGGGCCTTAATGCCAAATCCGTGATCCTTAGGTGCTCAATGACTCTCTGGGAAAAGTTTGGGCGATGGTTTACCCAGAATGCGGCTAAGGCTCGCTTTGAGTATGCGGCGCCAAGCATGTCCAGATGTGGACGGATGGCCGAGTGGATAGCTGCGAGACTATGGAGCAAGTGGTCAAGAGTTCGGATCACCATTTTTGCATTTTTGCAAATAATTTAATGTGTGTATATCCAGAAGGTTCCTCAGGTAAGGAAACGCTCATAGCAACTTAATTACGTCAAATTTCGGAGATAATGGAAAAATCGTGCAGAGTTCTAAATTGGGCATTGTTGGCAGATCAGGTGGATCAAAAACAGATTCAAAAATCTCCTCGTTTATCGCCGCATGCCGCGGGCTACTTGTAGACCCAACCTGAAGAATTTGAGAGTCCTCTTCAATATTGTTTTTCGTCTAGCGTGTTAGGAAAAGAAAGAAAGCGAGAACACGACATGTCCGACTAAAGGACGTGCTGCTCACGACCACGTTTTGGTCGCCTTAAAACTTGCGCTCTAAGCGCGATCAAATTCTTTTATGACGTTGACGGCGCACACTGGCACTGCGCTGTTGGTACCTCTTCCAGAAACAAACCAAAGTTGAAGTTAGCGAAGCAAGACGCGTAAGATAGAAGAATTGCTTGCAACATTTTGTGAGCAAATGATAAGCAAGCTTTGGTGTGTAACATTCTCTATGTAAATGGTAAAAGTATGCACTGCCTTCACCATATTCTCAAGCAAGGGTCATAATGAAGGCAATTCCACAAGTGTAGCGAATAGCGCAGTTCCAGTGCTGGACGTCGGGCTTTAAAGGTGGCGGGTACGGACCTCATGTGAGTCTATGTTCTGCAAATTGCTGGCTAGTTAGTTTTTATGTGAATGAACAGAATTTACTAGATTTTGTTAGTGGAGGAAAATGGCGATGCAAAACATAACATATCACGCACAAGATAATTTGGAAATTTGTGAGCAACCACTACTTTTGTTGCAAACATGAGCTATCCCATTAGCCATGACGCTAGACGGTTCCCTTCCCCAAATCAAAAGGAAAACATTGAGCGCACAGCCAATTTTATTTATTTGTTTATATATGCACTCATGGTACGCCATAACAACTCGACAACATATACTAACTAATGAAAGAAAATGTCCCTGTCACACTTCCACATTCCAACCTAGGTACACAGGTTAAGTCATGGAGACCGCAGAGATCCGCTTGAATTAGGAATAAGATTTCATGCTTTCTGCATTAATACACATGCTTAGCATTGCGGAATGCTACCGCCCTAAGAATAAGTTGAACTTCGAGGGCGTCCAAGGCCAGCCTGGTTCACGTCAGGTATCAACCAACCTAACAGACCAGTCTTAGATACATCTGTAATTGGATCAAGCAAAAGATGAATGCCAAAAACGAGCAAGTTCTCCGAGTGGGAACCAAAAGAAGAAGAGGTGGAAGTATGACAGGTCAGTCAGGAAAAGGATCAAAAGGTTAGTAACAAGAAAACATTAAATATTCAGCAACTTGTACTGAGATGATGATGAAAGTGCGTTAGTAAGAGACTAAAACAAACAGAAAGACAGAATGATTATCAAATAGAATGAAGAGCACCCAAAAAGAAAGAAAGAAAAATCAAAGCCATAATTGAGTAGCCATAACTGAACCCGCAAGTCAATGCAAGATCAACCAGCACCTGAAAAGACAGGTCTCAGAGGTAAAATGAAGAAGAAAGCTGATAGAAAACAAAGCCCAAAGCGATTCCATCCGCCATAATAGCACGTCCAAAGCACCCAAAGCGAAGCCGAAAAGGTCTAATGCAGAAGGCTCGGCCTGTCATGCAACACTAATCAGCGTTAGCGATACCCAACAAGTCAAGCCTTTTCAGTCTACTCCCGAAAACATGAATAGCAATCTAACAAATATACCTATTAAGGATACTAAGATGGAATGAGGGAATTAAGCTATGCAGAAAGAATTGTATGCTTAAATGAGGTGCGATGAGAGAACAATGCAAAAAGATATTCTAAACAGATAAAGTACAATTAAATATTATTCTGATGTAATTTGTAGTCAAAATAAACTCACCTTTTCCAATTTACAAAGAATATACCAGCAGAATTTTGCAGAATG